TGCCTGACTTTGGATGGGGTGTAGTTCTTGTCAACAGACTCATCCTGTAGAAACATGTGCAGGCATCGCTCATTCTGAGCTAGAGGGTGACCGGCCACTCTGGAAGACAAAAGCAAAAGTGGACATTCAAACATGAAGCTTTGATGAGTTTAAACAGGGATGAGCACAAACAGGAAACAAGATTTCGCATGAATTACTGAAATGGACGTGAGAAGTGTGGGGATTTTTTTTTTTTTTTTTTAAATTGTGCTAGAAGGACAATTATTTAGCATTCAACATTTTTATGCAAGTATTTCTAAAGGATGCTATCTTTTGTGTGCATGCTTTAAAAAGCACAAAACGCCCACTTTTAATGGGTTATTTACGGGCTGCACAATAAACTGGTCATGTCAGATGTTTTGCTGTATTTCAATCCTATCAGACTCTAGTAACACGTAAATGCATAAGGACTGATACAATGGTTTTAAAAGAATTTTACTGAGTATAACTGCGTTTTAAAGTATATATTTACACATATATGCCCTCACATCCTTCAAAAGTGCCACTGTGGCATATGGGGAAAAACTTTTAAGTGTAACTTTTGTTGAATTTAGTTAATAAGCAAGCTGAGTAGGTAAGTAAAATTTACTTTCACAAAGAAGCAGTCGTACAACAAAACAGAGTAAAACATGTAAGAATAGGTAAGTGCAGTAACAACAATACAAAATCTGATCAAGACACAAAACAAACATGTAGTTTAAAAAAAAATCCAAACAATAAAAAAAACCCCAGTCAAACTACAAAATGTTTTACAAGCTAACACTGCTTAATAACACATCTAGCTACTCGCCTGTCATTAAAAGCTGCTTCTCATTCACCGTTTAGTGTCTTAACCACCGACGACACAGAATGAACTTCAAACACTACAATAAGTGCACAACTTCAATTAGGCATTCCTGAAGTTACTTGGTCACCATTTATAAACAGTTATAACACTCTTATTTTTTGTGTGTGTGAAAGGCAAAGAATTTCCCACCTTTGTTTGAACCCTTTTACTTGTCATCTCCCTACAGTCTCTAAAATATACTATATTATATTATATGAGAGCATTCAAAGTCAAATCTGTTTAAATTTAGTGCGCAGTTTAGATTTGGGATCGATATCAGTCAACAATGTCACTGATTCACTAACAAATAATTTAAACTACTCTGAAAAATAATTACGCTAAAGTAATTTATACTAATGGAGAATAAAGAGCTGATCTGAACTGATCTAGTTAACATATCGGTAGTTTAATGGTTAAAAGATACTGTTCTTATTTGAATTTGCCATTTAACCGTAAATTTACAACAACTTTATCACACATTTACAAACACATTGACAGTCACAAAAATTGTTCACTTGGGAGTAGTAATCCGTTTTCCCCCTTTCGACTCAGAAATGAGCAAAGATGTATAACCTAGAATTAAGTCACACCAAGGCAAACAGGAAAAATAGCAGACTGCCTATCTCCTTCCACTATTTCACAAAGTGACTCTGATTCTAGTTTGAGGGATTGATAAGAGGCTCTGGAGTATTTGGTGTTCTCAAACGTCTTTAAATCCCGGTAGGACTTAAATGAATCAATATTTTATGACCCCTCTCCCAGTCAGAGTGGTAGTTCTTGTGGAAAATATTGGATGTTTGGGGCTCTGTTAAAGCCACTCTGACATCGAGTTTCCCTCAATGTCCCTTCAGATGACGCAAAGCGGCTTAACGAGAATGAGCCAGTGCACCTGAGACCCTTAAACGGCTCTTTTTGTAAACGACAAACTGCTCAGAACACATCAACATGATAAGACTACACGCACTGTATGCATGCGTCTTAACCTCTGATAGGAAATATTTCATACAAATTAAGCAGCAAAGGGACTGAGCCAGAGGTCAAATACCAGGGCAGTCACCGGAAACATCAGGCTAGCTACCAACAAATACTGTTTAATAGGTTTGGAAATGTTGATATGGACGCAAGGCGCAGCAGGAGCATCTTTACAATCTTTAAGCCATTTCCTCTTACCTGAAGCCAGCATTATGTTTGACTAGCCTATCATAAAAAAAAAAAATTTAAAAAAAGATTGTTCGCTCTTCTCCTCCTCCTCACTCATTTTGCAGGGATAATCATGTTTAGCATTCCAAAAGATTTCCTCTTCACAATGCTCTCAATCACAGATTTAACAATGCTGCCAGCCACATCAGCCGGTGTTAAGTCTGAACAATAATATGATTAACAGCAGTGTTTCATTCACAGAAAGCACAGGGAGGGAGAAATCTTAATTACCAACACATTCTTGTCTCCTTTAAAAATAAATAAATAAATAAATAAATGAAGAAGAAAAAAACATTTATGGATTTTAATTTTCCTCAACTGTCTTTGCACACTTAATATTCCAACAGGAAACATTGAAGCATTTGCACATGAAACAAAGATAATGGCCAAGTCTGCAATCAAAGCAAATAATTACAATCACACTGTAACTTTTATTGTTCCGCAGCTGAAAACGAGGACATGCTGGATCAAAAATAAGCAGAGGTGCACACACCATCCCGTGGAACCACGCGCTGTAATTTGAGCTGCAATTAACATAAATTACGCATCAACAACAAAACAAATGTGGGAAAAATTATGTTGTGGGGGTGCGCACTTGAGTCCTCTTTGGTTGTTCTTGTCCTTTGCGAGGTAATTATAAAGGAGAATTAAGGAGGATAGTGAGGAAAAAGACCTGCCCGTCTCCGAGGGTTCAGTTTGTTAACAATATGAAGAGAAGTGAAAAAGTTGAATCTAGTTATTGCACAACGTGCTTCATTGTTCGTCAGAGTTAAATAAAATAAAAAAATTTTAAACTAGCAACGGCAGAAGCGGAAAACGACTGCAGCTGCAAAGAAGAAATTGTTAAGAAGAAATTGTTTTAACCTCATGGCCGCATTGTGGGAGAATGGATAAAGACTGAGATGTGGACAGGCTTACTTGTTGAGAAACTGCTCCAGACCCTGTCTCCGCTCCTCTATGAAAGAGTCATCAAATATGCCATCATCCCCTCGGAAAGGAAGCTGCCGGAAAAGAGCTTTCCCCGGGAGAGGTGGTACAACCACCTGAGAGAACAGATTTCCCATTAGAAAGAAAAAGAAAGAAAGAAAGAAAGAAAGCGCAAAATTGAAAGTTTTTCATTGTTACAATAAATTATGAGAAATTTGAACAACTCAAACTATTTAAATATGGGTTTTGTCAATGCTTTTTGTGTGTCATTTCTGAAACTGTTTATGGGCTGAACCTAGACAGGGAAAAAAATGTTCTTTAACAACCCAAAGATGCACAAAACTCCTTTCTCTTTCATAGCAAAACACTGCAGATGTGGTCAATGTTATATGCTGATTTGATAAGCTAAGTACTCGAGCAGCCTTTGTGTGGAGTTCACTTCAATGGCTCACCTTGCTCTCCCTCTCCAGCTCCGCTCTGAGCCACTCAAAGTCGCTGTACCGCCTCCGTACACAAGACTCCTTCAGCTTGAAGATGGGTAGGTTGGTCTGTGGACAAACACAAGCAGCAGACTGTTACAGGTGTCAATTTTAAGAGCTGTTGTGATTTACAAAGAAATTGTCCTTAAACTCTGGCTGCAGTTATTCAAATGAAATCACAGTTTTTCAAGAAGTAGCTTGATATACACTAAGAAAATTTCAGGTAGGTCAGAGTGGTTCAAAGTAAAGCTCAGAAAGCTGAGTTCACACTTTTATCCTGACGAATAAAAGTGATTATGAACCTGTCTGTAGGACACGAGTCGGCACTAAAGGACAACAACGAAGAAAATCCTAATCTGTAACCAGTTACCAGATCTCAAAGTGGCTTACTAAGACACTTTGTTGTTCCTACAGGTTGATGGTGAGGATAATGAAAATGATGCCCGTTTTATTTAAATAAAGTTATGGATTTATCACCACAATGTGATAAAGTAAATCTTTATTTTAAAGCTCAAATGAATGGAAAATAAAAAGAAAACTGATCAGCAACTATGGGATTGATTTTTACTTCTGACTGTTGCTCAAACTAAGCAAGCAAATGTTAAATAGACTCATTCTTATATAGTGCTTTTTGACTGAGCACTCAAAGCTGAGTACTACTGTCTGACATTTCATATCCATCCATTTTCTTACTCTCTCATCCACTTCAGTGCCATGGGAACTGCATCCAAGCTGACACCGGGTGAGGAGGATACACCCTGGACAAGTCACCAGTCTATCGCAGATTTACTCACTCACTGTATCGATGGGTTTTCATGCAAACAGAGTCATCGCCACAGCTCCATACCATTTATACCAGCGCTGAAGGAAGGTGCAAGAACTCATTGAAGTGGTCTCCTAAACAATAGGTTTCCCTGCTTAGACAAAGCCTCCAGATCCAGAAACAAAGAAATCTGAAGTGTAATTTGCTTTCTAAAAAAATAATTCTTATTCAGGTACATTATACATGTATTAAAATTGTTATTTAAACCGTTCTAACCTGTCACTTTAATGTACATAAAGTTATAATAAAAAGCTGGCATTGGATACTCCAAATACCTGATCTATACAGCTCTGTATACCATTATTATCACTTTGACCTTCCGCTCACTCACTACTGACCTTGAGGAGAGAGGTCAGGGGTTAAATGTGACATATTTTAAATCTTCATACAATACTTGTTATATGTTGATAATATACGGTGTATTTGTAACAACCACACTTTCAAAGTTTTAGTTAGTTTTTTATGAATAAAACATTAAGTTAACCACAAAGCCCTTGGTGGATGTAAGCCACATTTTATTGATTTGTGAACATGACCTCACTCTACATGCCTACAAATTCATTCAAAACTTTTCTATATGTGCGATGTTTACACACGCAATTGTAAACGCCACCAAAACCAGGTAAATATTAAATCAACTGAGGAGAAAAAAAACAGACGGATTGATTGATTGATAATAAAATAATCACTAGTTGTAGTTCTGTTTTCATTTGCGGTATTAGGCCAATTCTGTTATTTCAAGCGTGCTGGGTACTTTTATTTGATACAACCACCAAACTGCAAAGCAGTATCTCTGTACTGTTGGAAGTGTTCCTAGGGCTGTGCGATATGACCAATATCTCATATCCCGATATAAGACATCTATCGTCCCGATAACGATATAAATCGCAAAAATGTAACATTTTCTGTAAATGGTGTTACCGTCATTGTTGCTAACCACAACGCATAAAAACAGGCGGTTGTCCGTCTGTAGTGTGGTTATATTAAATATAAGAGAAAGAGAGAACTTTAAGAAATTGATATAGCCACTACAGTGACCATCATAACGATGAAAAAATATTGCCGTAAACAGTTTCTTTTGCGACACCACGAAACAAACGATAGCGTAAAATGAAACGATAGACGTTTTTATATCGTCAACCGATATATATCGTTATATCGAACAGCCCTAAGTGTTCCCCAAGAGTTAACAAACAAACTCACTAAGACATTTATTGGAAACATGTTTTAAGAAAATGTGATAACTAAAAACAAAACAAAGGTTTGTACTTTCTGTGGCAATCATATGAATATCAGAAAATTATCACTAAAAAGCTTTCAGGGAGAGCTTGAGCTAACTTGAAAGAGCTAGAGAAGAAGGTTTTATTGACTTGGTTTTGGGCATAGCTTTATCTTATCTACTCTGACTTAGTAATAGGGAAAAAGGAGGGGGGAAAAAAACAAAGACTCCTTCAAATCGAACCAAACTGAACAGAAAATTGAAATTGGCCTCAAGGCGAAAAGAAATTCCACATTTTGCTAACCAAGGTCTGTCCCACTCAGAATGCTTTGCCATTTTTTTGTGCGTTCACACAGATGTGTGCATAATTCCAAGTTGCTGTTGACAAGCACTTGAGAGTGAATTTCATTTTAAAAAGAGGAGATGTTTCGACATTGACAGAGAACATTGAAGCAAACAGCACATTACGGCACAATGCCAAAGCTCTTCACTATTCCTGACAGCACATGGCCATCCCATGACAATGTACAAACAAGGAGGGAGTGAATGAGCATTTCATTGGCAGGCTACATTCACAGAGGGTCAGAATTCATGGAAGAAGGAATCACAAGAGCAAAGCAATTGAGCAAGTAGGTGCAGCATGAATACAGCGCGAGCAGCAGACTGATCGATGAGCAGACGACTGTGACTGTGTGCGGTAAAGGGGATGGAGAGTTAACTAGAAGGCTGAGTAAATGGCTGAACAAAAGAGAAAGGAGGTGGGTGTACGTGGTCATAAAGAAGGAGAAGAGAAACTAGAGAGGTTGGAAGCTTTGCCTGCTCTGTGCAAGACTAATTGAAGAGGAGGAAGACCAGGAGAGGTCTTTTCTCTCTCTCTCATGGTCTCCCCTTTTCAGTCTTTTTCCTTTTTATTTCCCTTGATCTGCAAAACTAAGTCACATTTTCTGCCCTTGAGACTCCTCTTGTGGTGTTTGAATGGGAAAAATATGGGCATTTGTTTTCTTCAGTCTTTGCTCTGTCCTATCCTCAACCTTCAAAATTATGGATCCCACCCGAGTTGAGTGGGAAAGAACAAACTCATCTGTCACATCCTTAGCAATGATGAAGAGAGTCGCTCGTCAACCACGATTGATTTGATGTTTAACTGTAAAATAAATGCTACCTGGGCAATTTACTCAATCGCACAGAATATGTTTTCTTGAGCTGATGATTGGGTTAAACTCTGGACTCGTGTAGACACACTGATCTTTCACATGACCCCTTCATCAATATACCCCACCGTCTTCCAAATGTGGGATTTGAATACTATTACAGGTGATCTCACTTAAAAAGTCAGTGCTTTTGGTCCATTGAGTTTTCCTGACTTATTTATGAGTTCAGCTAAACACAACAAATTTTTTTGCTTTCTTACCAACCATTTCAGTATTACAGTAAAGCTGGCCATCTACTGATTGTTTATCTTATAAGATATTCTCAGCTGACCGTTTCCTTTTCAATCTCATGTGACTTCATAACGGTCAAATGGACCACCTCAAAACCGCAACTGATACACACTAGAGGGCACAAATCACCTGTGTACAACTAAAAGGTTTGTATACATTAACTTGTGAGCATAATAACACATATTATAAGATCCAGCGATTGACCTCTCTATGTCAGAAATCTGCAAAGAATTATTAACGTTTCACAGACAGGATGCAACAACACTAATAAACTGCAGTAAATAAGAAAGCCCTGTATGCCAACATATAATAAAAGCTTCTGAGGTGGCTGTGGAAGAGCAGGTAGAATAGGTTGTCTACCAAGTGAAAGGTTGGTGGATCAATCTCCAGCTACTCCAGTCCATCTGTAGAAGTATCTTCAGTCAAGATACTAAACCCTGATACTGATAATTGCCAATGTTTTTTGCATCCATCGGAGTTTGAGTGTATATAAACGTTAGATAAAAGTGCTTAGGCATAGATAAAAGTGCTGCATGAATGTATGGGATTGAGTGAATGAGAGTTGTAGTAAAAAGCTCTATGAGTGCTCAAACTGAAGAGAAAGGTGCTATACAAGTACCTGTCCATTTACATTTAGCTTAACCATTTTCTAGCTGTTTGCTCTGCCTTTTTTCTAACAGGTTTTCATGACTCTGCAGACATTTTTGTGTTTTAATCTAACTGGAATTTCTAACTGAAATTGCAGGAATAACTGATCCCTTAACACTGACACAAGTATTCCCAAGTAGTGAACGTAGAAGCTTACTGAATGGAGTTGAGGCATTGGTATTTAATGATGTAACTGCAGAAAGATTTATTTTTCAATGTTTAATTTACATGGCAGATGAGACAGGCAGAAATATGTGAATTGATAGACAACAAAGCACATATATGAAAATAGCAGATATTGTTTGTGACACAGAGACTTATAGTACTTTAAAGGTCACTCCTCGGTTATTTCAGGTCAACTATACAAGGCTTACATGGACATTAAGTAAAGACTGAAAAAAAAAACCACAACTGTAGGTCCAACTCCTTAGTCCATTCTGCACCACATGCAAGCTATTTACATTGTGAATGCACTAACCCTGAAACTGCCAAGCATTCAATTACTTGAAAAACAGCAGTTAGGACACTGGAGCAGTTTCCCAGGCATGGATTAAGCATAGCCCTAGATTCAAAAGATGTTGTTGTTGTTTTTGTGAAACTGATTTATTGTAATAGCTATGCTATGCCGTTTAGCAGTGTCTTGGCCAAAATGTGCAAGGAATTCCATAAAAAGACCTTATCTATATGGGAGAATTTGTTGATCTAAAACCTGCATATACCTTTTATCATTGATGCTGGCCTTTCAGATGTTCAAGCTGCCAATTCCACTAACACACCCCCATACCACATGCATACAGGCTTTTGAACTGAGTGCTGATAATAAGTCAGATGGTCACACTCCTCTTTAGTTGAGAGGATGCAGCGTTCATGCTTTCCAAAAAGAGTTTGAATCAATGATGAATTCAATGTGTCTGACCACAGAACAGTTTTCCACTTT